GTGTGTGTGTGTGTGTGTGGTGCGTATGCGTCAGTGAGTCCATGTGTAGTGTATGCGAGATTGTGTGTGTATGTGTTTTGATTAGGAACGTCTGTCTATGTGTATGTGAAATATCGTATGAATGCGCATGAGCGTGTGTCTGTGTGCATGTGCGTATGCGTATGCAAAGCATGACAGGCTTACATTGTAAGTAACATTTTCCCCCACAATTTTTACTTAATTCTGAAGCTTTCTTTATCTTTTTTCTACAAAAGAAGAAGACGAAATAAAAATTAAAAAACCCAGCAACAACAGGCCCACCTTTAGGACTCGAATTCTGCAGTCTGATTTCTACTCCATCTCGCAACTATTTCAGTCTCACAATCGCCCTATTTCTGGCATTCTTCTATACATTCACTCTTGTCCCTCTTCCTTGTCCCCCTTTCTTCCTGTCTCTTGCTGGTCCCTTTTCCCAAGTGACGTCGGCGTTTTCCTCCCTTTTTTTTTCTTCTTCTTCATCTTCGTATCCATCTCTCTATCCCATCCTTTCCCCTTTTATCCCACTAGGAAGCTTGCTGCCGACACCCTTTCTTAAGGATAATCCGACATTGGACACGTGGATTGATCAGAAAGTACAACAGCCCCCCCCCCTCCCTTTTGTTCCCCCTATTTGTTGTTGCTGTTTTTCATGCCCCCTTTGCCCTTTTCCCTTTTTTCCCATCTCTGTAGAAGAACTACACCACCTCCCCCATTGTTTCTTGTTCCCCTGTTTGTTGTAGTTGGTTTTACGCCCCCCCCCCCACCCCTTCCACCTTTCCCCCCTCCCCTACTTTCTCCCTGGAACTGAACTAAACCATACCACACGACCCCCACCCTCTTTCCCACACAGCCTAGCCTCCTTCCATTTCCCTCCCACTTTTCTCTAAACCTTCCCACTCTGTCTCTGCTCTGTCCCGCGCGTGCGTCATTGTTCCGTCCTCGTCTGCCCAGGGTTTCCTCTCCAAACCGGAAGGGAATCCGGACTTTAGAGTTGTTGCAAAACTCCGTAAAAATGTCGTCTGCCTGCGTCTTCGATGTGCCGTGTGGGTAGCCCACCACCTTATTAGCGGCAGTCTTTCATGTGAACAATTTTACCCCTTTCTTTTTCTGTACAAGAACTAATACACTTTTTTGTGAACGGTGCCCCTTCTCTATATTCCAGGCAAGGCAGATTTTGTTCTGTTTGGA